TAATTTTTTGATTTATTGTAGAGGTGAGGTCTCGCCAAGTTGCCCAGGCGGGTCTCGAACCCTCGGGTTCAGGCAATTCATTCACCTCAGCCTCCCAAGGCGCCGGATTACAGGCTGAGTCACCGAGCCCAGCTTTGCCAGAATTTATTTATAAAAAATTGTAGGCCGGGCTCAGTAGCTCAGCCTGTAATCTCAGCACTTTGAGAGGCCAAGGCGAGTGAACTGCTTGAGCCTGCGGGTTCAAGACCAGCCCAGGCAGTGTGGCCTGTACTACAAAGGGTTCGCCTTCCAAAAAATAATTCCAGTTTTTTTGGGTCCCTCTCATATTTAAATACTGATAGAAATAATCCAGTAAGCAGGTGAGATTAAATTTGTATGACAGAAAAGAAAAATAAATAATGTGAAATACTGAAAAAAGTGAGAGTAGAAGCAAAAGCATAAGAGACAGAATTGGCCTTAAGCAGGAAGGGAGATAGTTTCTCTACTATAAAATAGTAAAGCTGAGCAGGTGAATACAGAGGCAAATAGAATTTTCTGTTTGTTAGTAGTAGTGAAGGAGTTTCTGCCTGAAGGCTCCTAGTTCTATGAAGTAAGTGATGCTGAGAGTGAGTGTGGGGTAAAGGCTTGAAGCTTTTAGGACCAGAGAAGTTTTAAAATGGCCATCATAGCCGGGCTGGGTGGCTCAGCCTGTAATCCCGCGCCTTTGGGAGGCTGAGGTGAGTGGATTGCCTGAGCCCGCAGGTTCGAGACCCGCCTGCGCAGCAGGACCTCATCCTCTACAATAAATCAAAAAATCAGCCGGGCGTGGTAGTGTGCGCCTGTAGTTCCAGCTACTTGGAAGGCTGAGGCAGAAGAATCGCCGGAGCCCAGTGGGTTGAGGCTGCACTCCAGTCTGGGCGACAGAGAGAGACTCCAACTCAAAAAATAAAAAATAAAAAAATAAAATAAAACAAAATGGCCATCATGCGTGAAAGAGAGAATTATATCATGGATTTTTTCGAGGCCATTTGAATTGCTCAATTATGGAGGAGCTAATTTTCCTTGACATATGACTACATCCAGCATCTCTTGGTTGATCGCTACAGGCAGAAGTAAATTGGATGGGCACGTTCTGGGGTGGATTTTTGCTAGATGGGAATGAATCAAAGACAGAGGGACAAGTGAGGTCAGGGCATTGGAAGAATGTTATTGATCCTTGCTTGTCTTAGTCATTTTAGGCTGCTCTGATAGAATACCATAAACTGAGTGATGATTTAAATAACAGAAATTCATCTCTCACAGTTATAAGGGCTGAGAAATCGAAGATCAAAGCACTGGTAGATACAGTGTTTTCACCCAGTTTCTACCATTGGTTACATCTTATGCAACTATAGCAAAACCAGAAAATTGACATTAGTATAGAATGTGTGTATCCATCTATGTCATTTTTTCACATGTGTAGGTTTGTGAAACCATCATGACAATTGAGATATAAAACTACTCCATTGCCACAAAAGTCTCCTTCAAGCTCCCTCATTTTTTTTTTTTTTTTTTTTTTTTGAGTTGGAGTCTCACTCTGTCGCCCAGACTGGAGTGCAGTAGCCGCTCCCAGCCACTGCAGCCTTGACCTGCTGGACTCCGGCGATCCTTCCGCCTCAGCCTTCCAAGTAGCTGGAACTATAGGCGTGCGCTACCATACCCAGCTAATTTTTTTATTTATTGTAGAGATGAGGTCTCGCCAAGTTGCCCAGGCGGGTCTCGAACCCGCGGGCTCAGGCAATCCACTCACCTCAGCCTCCCAAAGGCATGGGATTACAGGCTGAGCAACCGGCTAAGCTCCTTCCTTATAATCACACCCACTCCCCTCTCACTCACCATCCCTAACCCCTGGCAAATGTTGATTTTTTTAAAACTTTGTGTCTAGAGAGATTGACTGAAGGAAGAACATAATATTTATGTGCTCTCATCAAGCTTCCTTTGCAACTATCATTCCTTTCACCTGAAACACCTGTACCCACCTCCTGTTCACTTGCCCACATTCTACAAATTCCTTCAAATTATGGTACAATACAAAATAATAACTTATTTCATCTTGATAGTTTCCCGCTCTAAATTCACAACATACGTTGTCTATACCACTGATATTTTGGTTACCAATTCCCTTGGGAAACCTTTTATTGTTCAGTGATGGAGTTATTTAGCTTTTTTTGTTGTTATTGAGTTGGAGTCTCACTCTGTCGCCCAGACTGGAGTGCAGTGGCTGCTCCCGGCCACCGCAGCCTCGCCTGCTGGGCTCCAGCGATCCTTCCGCCTCAGCCTTCCAAGTAGCCGGAATTATAGGCCCACGCTACCACGCCCGGCTGATTTTTTGATTTATTGTAGAGATGAGGTCTCGCTGCCCGGGTGGGTCTTGAACCCGTGGGCTCAGGCAATCCACTCACCTCAGCCTCCCAAAGGCGTGGGATTACAGGCTGAGCCACTGAGCCCGGCTAGTTATTTAACTTTTAAATGTAAGTTTTCTTTTCCTTGAGAACAAAGACTGTTTTGTTCTGCTTACTGAGTCCACCTCAGTACCTAGCAAAGATGGAAACAATGAGTATTTGTTGATTAATTTTAAAAAGCAATTTTTTTCATAGATAATACAAAATTTAATATTATATGGCTCTTTATAAAATTAATATTTTTATAGCCCTTTTCTTTAGAAGAGGGTAAAGCAAATTACAAATGTTACCCTAATTATCCTGAGGCACTTCTATGAGTTCATCAGTATTATTATATTGGCATCAGTATTATTATATGGTCAATCAATATTTAGATGAATGAATTATCCTATGCTCACACTTTGTAAAATTAGAGACATTAAATGATTAGTAATCAATACTGAACTACCAATTGTTAAGAAAGAAGCAATGGATGATTAGAAGAAAAAAGTAGAGGTGAATGGGGGCAGAAGAGAGGTAAAGAAATAAGGATGAAGGAAAGTACATTCAAATCTTACAATTAAGCTTCTGATTGTCAGAAGACTGATCCAGGTCAAAGCATTTTGACATGTTGTGTATCTGGCCAAAACTGTTGACGCTAACCCTGTGATTTGGGAGGGATCGTTGCCAACTAATAAGATAAGGAGGAGAAAGAGAGTAGTGAGGAGAGTACAGGGCTCCTGAGTGATGCTCGGCTGCCTGAGCTGAGCAGCAGCCTCCCAGGTTTTCCGACTCCCACTGCAGGAACCAGGAGTGGAGCTAATAATTCCACTGGCTAGTCTCTATCTACAAGATGACTTCACTATGTAGTAAATGAGATTTAAGCATGAAGAGAAACAATAATGACTTACATGAGAGACTGGAGACCACATTAACTGGCAAACAGGTCCAGGGGTATTAATATAACCAATTGGCTTATAATTCTTTTCCACTTCAAAGAAGAAGACAGTGTGGTCTTTACTCTGAGGAAAAAGTATATTACTATGAAATCTAGTCCATGAATTACAAAAAAATTAATAGCATACAGTATGTCCATCTTGGAAAAAAAATTAAGTGCAAGGGGACCGAAATTAGTTGATTAAGAAAATTGTACTATATAACAGATAATGTATTTTCTTTAGAATTAGGTAATTTGATATTGGCTGCCCATTGGCAGTTCTTTACACTACTTTATGGTAGCCTCTAAGTTTATGTATACTTATATCTACCATAGACATGTATCCCAGATTATTCTGGGAGAATCCTTATTTCAAATATTTGCTTAATTTCCTCCATGTGAACACCAAGCAAATAATGTGTTCCAGTATGTGGTTCTGTAAATGTGATCACCATACTTGTACTTAAGATGAATTCACAAAAAATCCTACCATGCATATGCTCACTTATTAATGCATAAATAATTTACATAGTTATTATCTTCATCTATGGCAATTTTATATAAAAACATAACCATGCTCAATAAAATACTGATTATAAATAATACATCTAACATCTAACATGATCTAACATAAGCATTAGAACTCAATTTGTAAGAATATGTTTAAATGTTATATACAGACTATACTGAAGTAACATGAATACAAAGAAAACAAAACATGAGTACATTCTTAGAAAATGAATTTCATCAAATAAGGCATGATCAGTTAAGTGAAATTTAACCAAAATTTCAATAGGAAAAGAAAGGAAATCTACTGCTTACCCCTGTGGCTAGAATTTCCGCATCACGTTCATAGGCTATAGCAGTGACACAAGCATTATGAGGTTTGAAAACCTGTTTCAGGTGAATATCCGCATTCAAAATTTTCTTTCGTCCTGCAAAAACTGTGAGCCCTTTTGGATCATAAAGTTCAAGTATTCGAACAACTCCATCTTCAAATCCTGCAACAATTTGTGCTCCAGTATAGCTTACCTTGAGAAAAAAATTAAGTAAATTTTAAAAATTTAAGTAAATGTTTGTTGAATTTAAGTAAATGTTTTTAATTTAACTTAATGTTAATTTTAATTTAAGTAAATTTAAGTAAATGTTTTTAATTTAAGTACATGTTTGTTATAATGTTTAAGTAATGTTTAAGTTTGTTGTAATGTTTAAGTAAATATTTGTTGAATTTAAAAAAAGTAATTGCTTAAGAAAGTTGTACTACACAACAGATAACAGTATTTTCTTTAGACTTAGGTAATTTGATATTAATTTGATATTGGCTGCCCACTGGTAATTCTTTATACCACTTTCTGGCAACTTCTACCTATTCTAGGACAGTTCCTTATTACTCATGACCACAAGAAGGGCACACAATGGTGATTCAAACACCCAGTGAACAAACAATAATAGAGTGTTTACCTGTCACATGCGTGGCACCTACCACCAGCAACTCAGTGGTGAACACAAACAGACTCAGTGCCTGGTTTCACAGAGTTTATACTCTAGTGGAAACAGATATTACCCATCACACAAATGAGTGTGAATTATGAACTGAAATAAGTGCTAAAGGAAAGAAGCACATTCTCTAAGAGCATATAACAAAGAAAGCTGACTTAGACTGATTGCTTCCCTAGGGAAGAGATAGGGGGGAGCAGATATCAGAAGGATGCTCAATAATTAACTAGGTACAGGAAAGTGGGAAAAGCACTCCTGGGAGAAGAGGCAAAGGTACCTTGGCAGAAAAGAACATAACTCAAGAAAAGGTTATAGTCTGACTAGAACAGACTACACTGAGGGAGCAATGCTCCCATAAGAGGTTGGAGAAGAAGATGGGTAGGCACCAGATCATGAAATGGCTTACAAGTCACATTAAAGACAGTCTTAATCCCAAGAGCAGCAGAAAGCCATCAAAGGGTTTTTAGTTGGGGATTGCAAGAGAAGTGGTGGTGACATGGTTAGATTTGCTATTTCATAAGTGTCACTCTAGCCAGGCACGGTGGCCCACGCCTGTAATCTCAGCATTTTGGGAGTTCGAGGAAAGAGAATCGATTGCCCCCAGGAGTTTGAGAACAGCCTGGGCAATATAGCAAGGCCTCTTCTCTGCAAAAATAAAAATAAAATAATTAGCTGGGTGTGGTGGTACACACCTGTAGCCCTAGTTACTCAAGAATGTGAAGTGGAAGGATCGCCTGAGCCCAGGAGGTCAAGGCTGTGATGAGACCTGATCGTGCCACTGCACTCCTGGGTGACAGAGTGAGACACTGACTCAAAAAAAAAAAGTGTCACCAGAACTGCAGTGTTGAAAATAAGCATAGCCGGGCTCGGTGGCTCAGCCTGTAATCCCGCGCCTTTGGGAGGCTGAGGTGAGTGGATTGCCTGATCCCAAGGGTTCGAGACCCGCCTGGGCAGC